CTGCCTGAAGTTACAACTATCAGCAGAACGTCGCAGCATCCATCATTGACGAGATCTACGACGTCGGTATCTGGTTCATCACATCAGATATCTCAAGAAGGGCCGTCAGCTATGCAGACATCTGGCACCAGAGGTAGCAGTAGTATCTCCTCATCGCAGCTAGAACGCAGATTGGAGGAAGACTCCACGTTCTCAGAGGCGTCGTCAATTCCACAGCAGACTCAGCAGTCAGCGCAGAACTTCGACCCAGGAGCGTTCATGAAGCAGTTCACACAGCAAATGATGTCCATGATGGAGCCGCGGTTCGCTGAAAAGAAGGCTGCTTTCAAGAAGATCCTTACCGGCAGAAGTATCTCCAGTTTACACTCGTGAAGGTTCTACGAACGTCACTGAAGTGGATGAAGTTAGGGAAGACCTATCTTCGCATGGCCTTTCCAGTCGAAGGGGATCTCCATCGAGGCGTGATCGTACTACATCAGACTCCTGTAGATCTCACAGTTACAGATCAACATCTCCTTCATACAGAGGAAATCACGTCCGAAGAGAAGACCAGTCACGAAGGGAGCATTCGCGAATGGAAGATTACCGGAAGGAGGATCCGCGAAGGGAGCATTCGCGAATGCACTCGCAAAGACACAGTTCATCAGAGCGAGAATCGACTCATAGAACAGATAAAGAAAGTGATGGTATCTTCTCGGATTGAGAAGTTACATCTTGGATTGCGAGTGGTCTGGACTTAGCATCTCCTTCCAAAGAGACAAATGAGGTACTCACGTACAAGATGTTGAACGAGGACTCTACTCTCTCACGATCCCACCCATTGAACCTGTGGTTGGAGTCCTTGCAACTCTCAGCACAGCATTTGACAAAGCTACGAAATTCCAGAGTCAACATGTCCCGACATTTAATGCAAGAAGATTTCCTTTACATCTCATGGAACCATTTATGAAAGCTCAGGAGGTGGATGAGAACTATAAGCTTATTAACGAGGGTCGCAGTAGGTCATACAAAGTAGAAGATAAGAAGATCGCTCAACTGGACACAACGACCAGGCGGACCTTTTTTGGGCCTGCAATATCCAGAGCAATCAACGAGGCGCTTATGTCAAAGTTCCAGCATTCTCATGAAGAGGAAGACAGGATTATTCTTTCAGCCTTATTTACCCAGAAGAGAGATCAGCATTTCATGTCGGAACATCTAGTATCTACGATGGCAGGCCTTACACTTTTAAGAAGACAGGGTCTCCTTTCATCTTGCTTCTGGAGCAAAAGATTTACCAAGCCACTCTTAAAAGTCCCATGGTCAGCGCCCACCTTATTCGGCGGAATACCCAAAGAGAATTCCAAGGAGAAATTTTGACTAATCTACAATATGAAGAAATTCAATCAAGATTATCTTCTCAAACCAGGTAGATTCATTTAGAATGTTTGTTGAGGAATCTACTTAGAAGAGCCGGTCTGCAACACACATCTATACGTCTCTGCAAGGTTGGGGAGCTCATCACGGAAACAAGGTAACAGCAGGAAAGTGGTTGAGAAGGGAGCAACAACTTCACATCAATCAATTGGAAATGAAAGCAGTAATCAACGCCTTACAATACTGGTGGAGTCTTCTAGTCAAGAGAATGTTGACAGTTCACACGGACAACACCACAGTGGCATACTACATCAACAGACAAGGCTGAACAAGATCGCCAAGCCTCTTACAGCTCATATTCCAACTGTTCGAACTAGTAGACAGCCTAAACATTTGGATAAAGGCGGCGTGCCATATCCCAGAAGCAAAGAATGTCCTGGCAGATGCTCTATCTCGTCCACAGCAACCATCCCCAACAGAATGGATGCTCCACCCAGAGGCATTTCGACTCATCATACAGGAATTACAATCCCCGCTCATGGACCTGTTTGCCACAAGGTTCAACAAACAGTTACAAACATTCGTCTCTCCAGTACCAGACCTGCAAGCGTGGGCAGTAGACACACTGAACATACCTTGGGAAGGACTAAACACATACGCGTTTCCGCCCCAGTTCTACTACCTCAAGTACTCGAGAAAATCAAGCAGACGACAGTCTTGCAACTGATTTTGGTCGATCCCTACTGGCCAGCAAGAATATGGTTTCCAGACCTCATTCAGGAACTCGGAAGTCCAACCCTGAAATTACCAACGTGGACGAACCTACTAGTACATCCGCACACCAAACAAGCTCACAGAAATTGTTTCAGCTTCACGCATGTACAGTATCAAAACTTGCTTGAAGAAAAGAGGATATTCTGCCAGAGCAGCAAACGCAGTAACTTTAGCTCTACGCAGATCAACTCGCAACTTGTATGATGACAAGTGGCAGAGATTTGAACTCTACGCACAGCAGAAAGGCTTCACAGCAATGAAAGCTTTGCATCCTCAAGTGGGGATTACTGGTGTCACCCATGACAGACGAGGAGACTGAAAGGTTCGACCTTGTCTACATATCTGGCGGCGATCAGTACAGTCATCACAGTGAAGACAGGAATCAAGCTGACAAAAGTGCCAGAACTACTCGCTCTATTATGCTCCTTTAAACTGGAAGATCATCAAAAGAAATTGAAGGCACCTGCTTGGGATCTCAATGTAGTACTACAACATCTCACCAGTGATGCTTGTGAGACTTCTGAGCAAACGACTTTCGAGTTACACACTCAGAAAACTCTATTTCATTTTATTTTTGTGATAATCACACATGTGCTTTTCAGTGATTCTCAATGTTGATTGGTCAGCTGAGCAGAGAAGAAATATGATTGGTTGACGGAACTACTTTTCATGATCCAAGTTCATTGACAACTTTTACCGTTTCCTTGATAATTAGAACGTGCTGTACTCACACATTCCGATATTTAAGAGAAAACATAAAGGTTAAAGAATGTGAATACTCTTTTTTATTAGACATTATTATTTTGCAATAAAATTGCGTTATAAATAGTAGTCTTTTTAAAATAAATAACCTTAAAAAAACAACAACAATTGTTTGCATTGTTTGTAAACAAACATGGCCGCCATCAGGCTAACCCCGATTAAGGTCAATGACCTAGTTAAAGTTGATGGTGACGTAGCAGGAAGACTGATAAGAATATTACAGCCCTTGAATTCCTACAACCTGTTTGTTGTTAAAACGTTACCTTAGTGTGACATGTGAGTTGATCTGCCACAGCATCCATGCCATCGAACCAGAAAACAGCTTCTTTCTTATCGGAGTCAGTGCTAAATGAATTTTTGAGCCACACATTCCTAATCAGTCCGAGAGGTTTGTCCCAGTATCTGATGCAGAGATTGACACATTTCATTGACTCGGATTCCCGACTAGAGTTATCCTTCATCGAACTGCTGTACTGTACTGGGACCAATGACGTGACTGTAACACGCCTTCCACAGAACAAAATGTTGTTTAATCTTCAAACCTGTTGGGTTTGTAGACAGAAAACCTTTTCTAGATGAATTCGTGGGATGGTTGTCTTTTAGATTTCCAAAGTGTGTTTCAACACTACACCGTCACCCTGTCACTAGACACACGTCAGTCGTGAATGAACGATGTTCCGTAGCACTGATACTTGAACTGGACACAAACAAGAAGACGGAATTTTAAGTGCCTTTTAATCAAATATTGTCTGGTACTATTTTCCATAAGCGTAGTTATGCTATTATCGCTGGAGTTTAATACACACAGAGACATCTACTAGACACAAACAAGAAGACGGAATTTTAAGTGCCTTTTAATCACATTGTCTACAGAGACATCTACAGACGTCTCAAGAACAACAATATAAGTATGGATGAGAGCCATTATACTGAGGGCCTATAAAGCAGCAGGACTAGATCCTCCACGAGCATCCAACCCACATGAAGTTAGAGCTCTGGCATCTACATTCGCTTTACATGGAAACTGCTCGATCTCATCTATAATGAAGCGCTGCTTTTGGAAATCGGATACGGTGTTTGCCAACCATTACCTCAGAGACATTGCTACTGAAGACGTATCCGGCATTCACCAATTTGGGCCACTTGTTGTAGCACAGCAATTAATGGTTTCACAAAGGCGTTGAGTTAGGAATCTCACCCCTGTTATCACATGACAGATAACCTTCACTCCAGAGTCTGGTTATAAGTCCATATGTATGTCTAAGAATAGACCAGTATGAGTGATTTAGACCCTGTACTTGTATAGAAGATACTCGTACATGGAAAGGGTGGCAACTTATATGACAAATCCACATGAATCTAGTAGATTCACATGTCTTAAAGAAGTCTGTTAAGTATTGTTCCCTACGAGTTGACAGATTAAAGTTGAAAGAACAGGATCGTCAGGAAGTGCTGTATTACAGTTCCCATGGGGGGAGATACAGGACGTATCTAGGACAGCCGATAAATCCGGGAAAGTGGCTTGACCCACCACCTATCCCACGGATACTGGAAGCATAATAAGCATGAGTCAGGATAAGGAAAAATATGTATTTTTTTTAGTAAAATTGATATTTTATACTTATCCTGACTCATGATGTCAAGCCCTCCCAACCTCCCCACTAGATGACACTTCGGATTTAATGGTAGATCCAGGTGTCGGGCATATTACGGAGAGAGTGACAAGCATGGTTAGTCATGTGAATGTTTTGGCGGGAAAGTATGCAAGGGAGGAAACTCGTGGGTGAGTGTTCTTTTACGTCCGCTTTAAAGGGAACTACAAGGGATTTCAAGTGTTCCACTATCATTCGCATAGAAGGAGGAGACAAGCATAATAAACATGAGTCAGGATAAGTATAAAATATCAATTTTACTCAAAAAATTACATTATGGTGAGAATCGTTTAGTGGTCAGAATCAGTGACTTTACTGAAGGTGTGTCTATGTACATGATGATGTAGGATGTCAGTCTCTGTGTTTGATACACAAAGCCATTAAGAAAGTGGTCAAGTATACATTTGTTATATTTGAGATAATACTTTGTCAGTTAAGCCTTCTCATGTGTTTCAGAACGAAGTCTTTACGTGCTGCGGCTCAGGAGATGATGACGAACATCCAGAGAGAGAAGGGCGAGCAGGGTCTGAGACTGCATGAGGTATAAGAATGAAGATAAACATTAGGTGTTTCCAGTTTTAGAATGTTATTTTATCCATGGTACTTTGTATTTTACCTGAACACAGTTGCCAGGTTTAAGGTGTTAACATTTCGAAATTACCTGCTCTGGGTGAATTCCATGTAGACTGCTGAGTAGTGTGTAACAGGATGTATCATAAATATATACACAAGCACACATACACATAGCTATACACCACACCACACCACACCACACCACACCACACCACACCACACACACCACACCACCACACCAAGAGACACCACACCACACCACACCACACCACACGCCATGAGACAGCACCTGCAAGGCAGTGTTGAAACATCAGGCTATATGATGAGCGTTTTGTTTCAGGCCTGGCATCGGAAATACCATCAGTTCAGGGAAGTGGTGTACCTCTTTGTTAAAGGTCTAGAAGCCTATTATAAAGAAAGGTAAGTTAATCTCGGACCTCAAGACGTTTGATCTGATGATCGTTCTCATGCTGCTTCCAGCCCAGAATAGCAGCTACATGGTTAAGGCATTCACTCCACATGAGTACAATAAGTCAAGCTCATTTCTGGTCTCCTACGCCGCCTCCGTGGTGTAGTGGTTAGATCGTCCGCCCAGGGGCGGTGGGGTAGCCTAGTGGTTAAAGAGTTGGCTCGTCACGCCGAAGGCCCGGGTTCGATTCCCCACATGGGCACAATGTGTTAAGCCCATTTCTGGTGTCCCCCGTTGTGATATTGCTGGAATATTGCTAAAAGCGGCGTAAAACTAAACTCAGTCAGTCAGTCAGTCGTCCGCCCAGAGAGCGGAAGGTCGCGGGTTCGATCCCCGACCGCGTCATACCAAAAGACATTAAAATATGGTACTTGTTGGTCCCTGCCTGGCGCTCGGCATTAATGGGTACAAGGACTGGTCAGCTTGGAGTCAGTATGATGTGTCTGAGTGGGGTATTCATGCTTCACTGTGGCATGGTATCTCAGTGGGCTAGCACTATAAAACCAGCTTCAGTCTGGGCTAGTACAAGCAGTCGCACATACACATACACACGCATGCACGTCGTCATATGAGCGAAATATTCTCAAGCATGACGTTAAACCCAATTTCACCTCACCTCACCTCTGGTCTCCTACACTATTATGCTGTAAGATATTGCTAGAGCAGAGGACATGGAGTACTGATACCAGCTCCAGGCTAGAGTATATTGCTAAAAGCCGAGTAACACCATCCTCAGACAATCCTCTTTTGCCCATTGGTTATATTGAATGGTACTCATTGATCTATCTCCTTGGTGGTGCCATGGAGGTCCTGTAATTGGAGCCACGACGCCGTGAGATTAGAGTAGGTCCCTGACGATGCTGGTCATCAATGGCGGCCAAATGGGTCAGTTGGTCAGGTTCAGTGTCATATTTGGTACTGTGTCAAGGTGACCCGTGAAGATCCGGGTCAGAATTGGTCTTCAGTAATCCATGGTCTCCCGCCTTGATGTTGCTGGAATATTGCTAAAAGCGGCGTAAAACCAAACTCAGTCAGTCAGGAATCCATGGTTTTCGTAAGAGGCGACAAATGGGATTGGGTCTTCAGGTCTGCTGACTTGGTTTTCACATGTCATTGTATCTCAGTTGCGTAGATTGATGCTCATGCTGTTGATCACTTGATTGTCTTGTCCAGACTCGATTACTTACAGACCGCTGCCATGTAGCTGGAATATTGCTGAGTGTGGCATAAAACTCTCACTCACTCACTTACTCACTCGCTCACTGTGTCAATATACACCAATAGCATGGATCAATGCTTGCAATATTGATCACTGGTTTGGCTTATTCCACCTTGCCATGATGTGGCTAGAGCAATCACATTGCAGCAGTAGACTGTGTTAGATTGATCAATATCATGTCAGATAGTGGATAAACGAGTAGGTGTTTGAAAGACTGCAGTCCAACTGTTTTAGAGTGCCTTGGCTCTTGTTAAAGCTGTGTCCAGTATGAACGTGTAATCTCAAATATAACGTGTGTTACTGTGTTCAGTCGTCCGAGTGTGACACACTCACCACACACACTTGTCTGTACATATGAAGCAACGTTTCTGTTGGACAAGATCAAGACTACAGCCATTGTGTTGTGTTGCAGGTTTGCAGAAGCAATGCCTTACTTTAACATAGCGTGGCATTACAACACTGAGGTGATCGAGGGCAAGAGTGAGAACTTGGGGATGAGTAAACAGCTTGTGGCCTTTTACCAGAGGGAATGCTTAGAGGTGAGTAGATCTCCAGCCAGAATCTGAGAAGAAGTAAATAGCAAGGTATAGTCCGTTTGGCTCAAAAGTGGACCGATGAATTGCAATCTAACTCGAAAACTAATCAACATAACATAATCAATGAAATGCTGATTATAATCAAAACATCATACCAACTCTGTGAGGTTTTTGCAGAATTTATGTCCTAAAAATAAAAAAGTTGTTTAACAATCTATCATTAAAATATTGACACAGTTCACTATTTGTTACGAGGGAGGAGTGCAGAGAAAGGGACAGCCAGGTGTTCGAGAACGGATGGAGACGGCACAGCACATGTCAATGAATAAATAACTTTGTCTGTGAACGTGCTTCTCGAACACCTGGTTGTCCCTTTCGCTGCACTCCTCCCTCGTAACAAACAGTGAACTGTTTTAATATTTTAATGATAGTTTGTTAAACAACTTTATTGTTTTTAGGACAAAAATTCTGCAAAAACCTCACAGAGTTGGTATGATGTTTTGATTATGATCAGCGTTTCATTGAGTATTTTATGTTTATTAGTTTTCGAGTTAGATTGCAATTCATCGGTCCGCTTTTGAGCCAAATGGACTGTAATTCTTTGAATTCTCTGGGACTCTGGTATTGAGCAAGACTGACTGTGATGGCATTGCTTGCTCATGACATCAACCACTGGTATTCCTGGACCACAGTTACTTCCATTCCCCCCATGTATGGTGTACATCATCTTCCTGTCTTCCTGCATGTTGTGGGGTGGTGGGGTAGCCTAATGGTTAAAGCGTTGGCTCGTCACGCCGAAGACCCGGGTTCAAATCCCCACATGGGCACAATGTGTGAAGCCCATTTCTGGTGTCCCCCTCCGTGATGTTGCTGGAATATTGCTAAAAGCGGCGTAAAACCAAACTCAGTCAGTCAGTCCTGCATGTTTCAGAACACAATGATCCTGTACAGGCTATAGTGATTTACTTCATGTTAACTGGATAATGCATTACGTTGTTGAATAACGTTTGCTATGATGAAGTCATCTGTCATTCGAGATTGAGTTGACATGTCATATTCATTTCCACAGAAACTGAACGCTTGGTCTGCGCAGATGTTTGAAGCTGAGGACGACATCTCCGAGATGTTGACGACCATGATGGATCTGGTGCTGCCTTCTATGCCAGCTCTCTTCCTGTCTGGCTTCTCGGATGACACGGCTTCTGCAGAGGAGATGAGGGAAAGGTGGTGTTCATTCCTTGGGCAGGACCTTGATGGTGAGAGAACTTCTTCATGTCAGTCTGTCAGGGAAGGGGGGCGGTAGGGTAGCCTAGTGGATAAAATGTTCGCTTGTCACGCCTAAGAACCGGGTTCGATTCCCCACATATGTACAATGTGTGAAGCCCACTTCTGGTGTCCCCTGCCGTGATGTTGCTGGAATATTGCTAAAAGCTGCGTAAAACTAAACTCACTCATTCACTCAATCTGTCGTATTGTTTCTACGGTCTCCGGTGGCCAAGTACAAATGCAAAGACTTACCTATGTCAGCTCATGGATGAAAAGAAAGTTGTAAACATCCGAGACTTGCATCACTTCAGGTTCTTATGTCACATCAGACATGATATAATTTGTATGTACAGATTTTTGGCAATTTTATTTTTCTCGATTTCCTTGGTAACCATTAACACAAATCCCAAAAAAGAGCTGGATTCCGTTTCTGGGGCATAACTCGAAGACAGCTCAATATCTATCAAAGCTACTAGGACAAACATGGATTTCAAACACATTGTCATAGTATTCAAGGATGTAATTTGCATATCTGAGATTTTGCATTGCATTTTCAGAATACAAGGTGGAGAAGTTACAGGAGATTCTCTCGAAGTTGTTTGAGCCAGCGTCAGAGACTCGGTCTGTCAGGACACCATCAGTCCGAATCACAGATATGAATGAACTCTACTATCAGTATAAATCTATCATGGCCACTGCAGACAATCAGGGTGACCTTGACCTTGTGTTGAAGGTTACATAGAAGACATGAGAGATCCTGTAAAGTGTCACTTCCTCTCAGCGGCATCTACCTGTGTTGTGGATGTTGTGAGAACATGGGATGCATAGCACATATGACATAATCCCCTATGTCAAAGATCATCATCATGTATCCTGCACTCATCATCAGGGTCAAAGGTCACCCATAAAAGTTCAAGGTCATGTCATTTAAACAGCCATGCGTGAGCTTTAAGAGACCGAACAACAGCCCAGTTGAAGTCATAGGACAGACCGACACATTACCAGAGGAGCTAGGTCTGGTCAAGGTGGATGTGGGGTCAAGGTCAAGGTCAGGGAAAAGGGAAAACGCCCTGAAAAGTCATGTTGGCCAAGGTGAAGAAAGATGTGCTTGTGACTTTGTGGCAGCAACTCTGTAATGTGCTAATTAACCAACATGAAGATAGCTTGTGTTCACTGGTGATCCGCTTCCATGGCATTGCATTAGAGTCTGCTAGAAAGGCCTGTTTATTTGCCAAAGACTACCGCAGAGAAAAAGCTGAGATTATTCACACCAAGACTTTCTCCACCAACGATTACTTAATTATGATTGAGATCCACCACATGTCTTTTTTTTCTATATTTCTTTGCAAGAAAAGGCTAGTTCTCATTTTGACCAAGGTGTGCTCTCTCAGGCTCTCTCTTCCAAGGTGTGAGATATCTCTTGTGGGAATGTGTGAATCCAGATTGCCAGAATTTCTATTTAATCATCATATTCATCATCGTCATCATCATCATCATCATCATCATCATTGTTGCCAGGATTTTATGGATATTAGTTATGGATTTATGTTTTCCTTTCAAAATACTTTTAGCCTTCACTGAAACTAGAAGAAAATGTAGTACATGTAGTTGTTACGTGTGAGTAGAAGCTGGTGGCTGTTTGTCACCATCGCCAATGTCAGTTATGGAAAGGTCAGCTAAAGGTATTGGGTATTTGAATTGGAATCATGTTTGAAGAAAGTCAATTAAGGCCTAGAAGTTTAGGCTAGAGTTTTGTTTGTTGGTTGGTTTGCAGGTCTAGTTCAGGAAAAATGCTGTGCATTCGGAAGGAAGAGAGTATTAATTATTGCTTCTGAATCAGGATTTACATACTGAATACACATCTATGAATTGTCGTCATACTGAAACTGCTCTTGAAATTGATTTTTCTTCCCCTCAACTTTTGAAAATTCATTTATCCTTAATGAAATCAGGTTTAGGTGGGTGAAGATATTTAGTGTAAAAACTTAAGACATGTTTCCTTGACTAAATAGATTGAAAGTTCTGTGAGGTATTTATTTCATTAAATGCATGTGCAGTGTTCTACCTGCCTGAGCTTTCCAGAGCGAATTAGAAGTGAACATTTCATCACCACTGTCATCATCATCATCGTCGTCGTCATATATCTGAAAACGTATTTTCTCCAGGCCCCCTCACCAAAAAGTGGTCTTCGTGGCAGGTTGATAGCAACTCCCATACTGCACCATGCAACGAGGATCACTCTATGGAAGGAGGCCCAGAATGAGATGGGAGTGTGTGTTTGAGGAAATGCATTGGAATGTATATATTCATCAGTTCACTATAATACTCCTCGTCTCCCATGTCAGGTTCGATCCTACTTACACGATGGTTGTGATTAGTCATCTAGAAATCATTCTCATTTCTCCTCCTATTTAACACCTTTAATCACAGGCTGGACAAATTTTAAACTATTATTTATTTAGCTCCTCTTAAAATTTGTTGTAATCACTCGTTCATCTATTTACACGTTAAAGGCCACAACAAATAAATGCTGTATTTGCAGGGTAGTAGTTAAGTGAGAATCTGACAGTTTTTTATGGTACAGGCCATTGTTTTCACTGTACATTATCTCCTATATTATATTTTATAATTATGGTAACAAAGTCATATCTTCTCAAAACCCTTGTTAGAAGGAAGTATTAGTGAAGATGACAATTTTGTCGATTATGAACTGACTTTTTTTCACAAAAGAGTAATCACTGTACTTCCCCCAGTGAACAGAGATTCTCCTTGTTGCCTTACTTGAGGATATGCTGGAGGTAAAATATGTAGTAATGGGCATGCCAGATAGTTGAAATGTTCAGATGTATAGCTGTTACCATGTTATCCAAAGTAAAATCTTAAAATATCGCTTGTAGATAGATAGATGATTGTAGATTACCCAGACAAGAAAATGCCTGGAATCTTTTGGCCTGTTTGCGAAACCTTTGAATTTAGTTCTATCTTGAAAAAGACCTGGCAAGTTTTAGGACTGTCAGTGTCTTTGAAAATCCTGGAATTTTTAATCTGACTGCAAAAGTCTTTGACATTCAATTTTTAATCTCCATCTTGAGTGAAAAATGCAGACTTCTTTTATAGACTGACAAGAACTTTTGAAATGTGAAAAATATACTCATAGAAACAAATAAGGGAACACATGAAAGTACAAGTGTTCCATCATTTATTTTCAGAATGTCACTCAAAGTGCAATACATACTTTGTGAAGAAACCTGGAAAAGAATAAAGGAACACTTCTACTTTCATGTGTTCCCTTATTTGTTTCCATGAGTATAATGTGTGAAGCCCATTTCTGGTGTCCCCCCGCCGTGATGTTGCTGGAATATTGCTAAAAGCGGCGTAAAACCAAACTCAGTCAGTCAGTCAGTCCATGAGTATATGTTCAAGAAAACCTTTCTGAAGTGATCTATTTATAGTCAACTTTTTGTTAAGTTAAATTTAAAAGAATAAATTTTTAACTAATCCTGCACTACTTACTTCCTGCACTTATTGCTTACGACTCGAAACGTGGCTGTGACAGACGTTTGATGTTGAAAGTGTAAACTGTAATCACTTCCTAGTCTCAGGTAAACATCCGTCTGCGCACGCATCACTGGAAGGTGACGTCAGCCACCTCAGATTATTGCTTTTCACACTCCTCGCAACACGTGTGGTTTGCCAGCTCTACTGATTTGTATCCTATGAATTGTGTTTATTGATAATAAACTGACTTTTGGATGCTTTTCCTTTGTTTTTCAGAGGGTGTAGGTATTACCCTTCTGTTTCTATCTTTTGTAGTACTGTTGTAGTGATGGTGTTTGTGTTAAACACGATAGTTTTCATCACTATTATCGGTCCCTTCGCCATTCAGAACACGTGGCTTAGATGTATTCGTAGTCGCTTGTTCTTGGCTCATGCTTATTTGTTATACTATTATCGTATTTTAAGCCTTAATTCTGGTCTCCAGTTTTTGTCAGTATTTGTGAGACGTTTGTTCTCAATTATGCTGTTTCCCCGCGTGTTCCTCATTACTATTGTAATGTTTTTCACAGTGTGTTTGCTGGGGGTTTCGGCTATGTTGCAGTTTCTATACGGCAAACGCTGTATAGTTTGTAAGGCGGGGTTTCTCATAAGTGCCTTCATTCATACTGATTGAATTGCACTTTTCCGTGTTTTTCCCCCTTTTTCACATGAATGAATGTGCTTGTTGCGCTTTCTTAATATATCATCTTAACACCATTTTTTCCGTCTATGAAGCGCCAGGTCCAACACCGGCGTTTCTGACGTAATTGGTTATTTCTTGGGGGTCCATACGTCACGACATCTGGAAACATTTGTTCCGGCTCCTCATAGCTCTGCCTCAACGATGTGCCTGGTTCTGAGGTTTACTTTCGACCGGGAGTACCTATGCTTTTACTTCAACAGGTCCTTGGTTATTAATTCATATCATAATGCAGCAACATTGATTATTTGGTGATTTCATGTGTGCTCTCCACCATATGGCGTAATTTGCATACGGTCATGAGATCAATCAGCAGTTTGGAGCTCTAGCTATCTGTCACTGGGCGCATTATCTCCCGGGCAACTCGACGGTTGTGTGGTTTGACAAGAGTTTGACCGGGTCACTGTTTCCAGAAGTTCCTTCTGTTTTCCAGTAATAGCTGACACCCATGTCTGTCTGAGAACTCAGCATATGCCTGGGTGCAGGTACATCTTAGCGGACACTATATCGGGATCTGACAGAGTCGCTTTCACAGACTGAATGCTACACAAAGATATACCGGTTTATGTGTCTCTGTCTCCAGATGGTCAGCCTGGGCAGTGGATGGCTTAAGCCTTTCCTGGGGGAGCTACATGCAAAATAATTGTCCTCCAGTCTTGCTTCCAAATGTTTTCGTCCCAATCAAGAATTACAACTTGACTTCGACTATATTTAGTCGGTCCCAGATGACCAACCAGAGGTTGGTTTCTGATTTGAAGCGGTTTAGTGTCCAGTGCCCCTCTTCAACTAGCCAGATGGGGAAACATCCTATAGTGTATCCTCATCCCACGCCAGAACGGTTCAATTAACACACTGCATCTGCAGGCGGCATTTGCGCCAATTACTTTTCAGCCAGAGCATTGTTACTGCATTGCTGATGAACATTAGACTCCCATCAGGTACATGTATAACAAGGGGCAGTAGTTCGAGCAGTTGTGTTGCCACGAAGCAGGATCCGCTGAATACACACACCCCCCTGTTTTGTAGCAGTTTCCCTGCTGTATTTTTAGACGGAAGGCATTTCAGGAGGGACATGGCTGCCACTTATGTTAGTGGCAATTCGTTTTAGCAGTCCCCATTGACAGCAGTTACTGTCCATGCTTCGTTTCTTTAGCACTTGTGTACCCAAGCTGCTGTTTTGAACACCAGCCAGGACTCTCAACATGGTCCTGGACTGCCTACGCGTTGTGTTTTACAAGTCATTCACGAACTCACGATAGCGACAAGGGTCATGCGTTTGGTGCGAATTGGATCCAGTTTGAACGACGCAGTCATGGTTCTGTACCATGGTTCTGTTTTATGGGGATTTCATCACTACACACTCGTTGCCAGCTAGGGCGAAATGATCGACAGTTCTCTATTTCGCCCTTATCGTCTGTTGTTGGTGTTAAGATTTTCCTGTGTTCAGCTGGTGTACTCAGTTTGTACATTAGGCGACCTCAAGCCGTCAGAGGCATGTAAGCAAAACCCTGAGTGTTTTGTGGATACGGACTTCCTTTATTCATGCGTATAATGCGGCTGGTCTGGTTTCCCCTACATCTACACCAACCTCCAGTACTTCGCACACTCGCCTCTACTATGGCGCTTCACTGTAACTGTACAGTGGCATTGATAATGCAAGAGTGTTTCTAGAAGTCTGACACAGTCTTCGCCAATCAGTATCCACACCATATGAGTCCAACGCTTCGGACCATTGGTGCCTGACCAGCACCTCAACAATCCCCAAAGGATGTCACATCCTACATTGTTGTTCGCAATGAAGCACGACGATGTCGTGTGGGGAATGAGTTGTTTTGAACAAAACAACTGGGTATGTCAGTTAAGGAGTAACACTTGGATAGACTCAGGTCCAAGCTTCTTACTGCATTCCCTAAAGCTAATAACGTTTTAAAAATCGGGTGGCCTTTTCCATTTAAGCGTACATGGCTTATATGAGAATGACCACTGAGATGTAATCCCTCTCTGTCGACCAGTCTTCCAGATTCCACGATCGAAGGTGTCTTCGTTCATGATATTTCTTCCCACGAGGCATGATGTCGCTGTGTGGGAAAAGAGTTGGTCCGAGGGAAACAACTGGGTGTGTCAGTTAAGGAGCAACACTTCGAAAACTCAAGTCACT